TTTTTTTACATTTGACCTTATTTGTATAGTTGTATTTTGTATTTTGTATTTAATCTGTACCTATCTGTATTTATGTTATCTGTATGCACCAAGGGTCTGAGAGTAACGCAATTTCAATTCTCTGTGTGTATGTGCTGTACATGTGGAAGAATTGACAATAAAGCAGACTTGACTTGAACTTGAACTTATCCATCTGCGCCACTGAAGCAGATGATTTACAGCCACTTTTAACTAAATGTAAATATACACTCCGTATTTTTTTATTCCATAGTAAGGGTAATTCATACAATCCATTTAAACTGAGCTACTTTAAAACAATCTCCGAACTTTCTACCACGACTCTGCTGTTCTTCGGCTGGTTCTTCTCTGTATACGTTGATTGACAGATGTCTCGTCCAGTCAGCGGTGAGTAATCCCAAACCAATGGCGCTGTCTCAAACTATACCTACCTCTTCCGGTTTGTCTGATTTGTCGTTGTGTTTTCTGACTTGTTATAATGTTTTCTGAATTGTTATTTAGTTTTTTAGACTTGCATTTGCGTTTGTAATTTGTTCTTTTGTTTTCAGAATTGTGATTTGTTCTGCACTTCTCGGCCACCATAAGTTAGTTAGTATGCTGCACTCTAAGAAAAGTAAAAAATAATGCACAATCTACTGTGTTAATATGAAGGAATTTTCAGAATTAATTTTTCTACAGGTTTTTGTACCTGCATTTTTAATTACGCATTGTATTTTGTGTTTTCGGGTTACAACGGATAGCGGATAATGTCCTGGAAAGTAGCACCTCTTCCATTTTTCTGCATATTTTTCTTACAGTGTACTAACTCATCAACAACCACAGTTACAAGCTACAAACAAAGTGTCTCATAAATGAAAAATAACCGTATTCAATTATTATTATTATTACTATTAAATTAAACAATTGCAAATAGGAGCTAAATTAATTCCTGTAACGTGTGTACTGCTAGGCATCGTTGGTTTCATCTTTTTGTGTAATTTAAATGGTAAATTGTGCCTTTTTATTTGAGTCACTTATCAAATGTTGCTAAAAGCTGCCAAATAAATTTTAAAAAATAGCTTAATTTGTTGTTAGGTGCTTTTGGAAGAAAAAGTTGCTAGGGTAGTCTGAAAAGTTGCTAAATTTAGCAACAAAATTGCTAAGTTGGCACCACTGAACGGTGGTGCGTTAAACACACTGTTCTGATGACGCAAGAGTTGCAGCTATGGCGGCTGAGAAGGCCATTCTTTGTGTTCTTTTTGAAGAATTTCCGGTGCCTGATGAAATCGGTATAAATACGTGTTTAATACTGCAAAATAATCTCGAGGTAACAGTCACTGCCCTTGCCCTCCAGAATAAAAGAGAACATCCCAATCAAATGAAGGGATTTATGCAAACTGTGCTTCCTAATTATTGTGATCCAACATTTGCCTCGCATTTCAGGTGAAGAATAATCCACTTCTTTCCTCCGAGACTGTGTTATTATGATCTATATGACCTTATTATTTTTATTGTGAGTATTCGGCTTATCATTATTGCTGATCACTGTTGTTGTGCTATGATATTGTAATACTTACCATTATATAATCGGAGGAGTATAGAAAAGTTTATGAGAGTGTCACTCCACAATGCAATAGCAAAATATGTATAGTATTTTTATGTTACATTAATCAGTGTCTAGCACACCTTCCTAAGGAAAGGATATGGACCAGAAGACGGTACTGAATGATATTTAGACAGACTTAAAGAAGTTCCAGATCTATACATGTGCTCTTATTATTTCAGTTATTTTGCCTTTAATGTAAATAAACATGTGCGAACAATATACTTGCTCTTGTGATGTTAATTACATTGTGCGCGCTGTCTCTTTAATACCTCGTGGTTTATATACATGCTGCTGCTGATTGGGCTGACATGTTTGACACACCCACCAAACAAGAGAAAACGCATCTCAAACCCCGTTGCACAGGAAACATGTCGTTCAACCTGCAAAACCGTAGCAAAACGGTTCACAGCGGTTTGAGCTTGAACTTACCCCAGCGTTCAGCTTCTATCAGCGAGTTGATACGGAAGCGTCATTGCAGTGGTGATATCAATGCGTTCCTATTGGTCAGCAGAGAAAGTCACGTTTTATTATTGAACAAAACACTTGCACCTGCACAATGAGCAGTGGTGGGCCTACACTGTTGTTTTCACACGCTATCTATTTTATTTAATTAATATTTATCTCTGCATTGCATAGATTAGAGATTGGTATGACACCCTTTTACAGTAGACTGTAACATGTAAAAACTCTCTTCCCCATATTCATATTTGAAAAGCTGGAACAAAACACTTTTTGACAGTCGAGGGAAGCAAGGAGTCAAAAGTTTCAGAATATAAGAATCTAAGGGTGTCCGGTCCTGCATCTGGAGGGCCAGTGATCTGTTGTCTAGCTCCAACTTCCTCCAGTAGTTTTGTTTGGAAGTTTTTAGTGATCCCGAAGACCTTAATTAGCTCGTTCAAGTGTGTTAGTGCTGCAGTGATGACGTATCTTTGTAGGCTAACCTGGAAGGACGCAACGTCCCGGTTCCCTCAACAATATCCCAAAAAGTTATTTTTTTTTCCGATCGGCTTTTGGATCATTGCAGAAATGAAGCTTTGTGATCAACAAACATTTATGATTCTTACACATATTTGTTCATCATGATAGCCTTTGCAACTTTTATAACTTTTGAAGCCTTAATCCAATCAGCAGAAGTATACTGTACTTTATAAACTACACTATTGCCAACACAATTTTTCCTGAAAATGGGACTTAAACACAATGAGGCTGAACCTCTGAAGTCCCATTTAGTCACATGTTAGCAACTGCCTTTTTCACGACAAATCTAAATTCACAAGGGCATATTTCTGATGTATTTTACGTTGCAGAATAAGCCGCATAACTTTTAATGCAAAACAATAAATCTTTTACTAAACTAAAGCTCCTCTATTTCTACCCCACTTCTCATCACTATTTCTTTGAAAAAGATCTATTTTTATATTCCATGTCAAATATTATCCTCTGCCGGTATGAGAAAGGTTAAGCTTATAGTCCGAAACAATGCATCCACGCCCATTTCTGGCTAAATCATTTCAAATGATATGAATCATGAACTTTGATATACTGGTCTCAATAAAACACACCTATCATTAAACCACATTTTACACCTTTTAATGGGAGTTATTATTAATTATTAATTAACAGTGAGATTAACAGAAACTTTTATTTGCCGCATTGAAATTCTCCCACATGGAGCACCAACTGAGTGTATTTGGTTGAAGCTGTTTATTAAAATTGATTTAATAAATATACACAGCAGGTGTGAATATCCTGTTATTTATTGAGCATTAGTTTTTCTTCTTGAAGACTTGATGGCAGAGTTTATCCTGACAGTAGATGTCCTAAAAAGAGAGAGTGATTAGCATGATAACTGGACATATACACTAAAATATACACTTAAAAAGTGCCCAATTGGAATCGTGACCAAGTATCACCATGTTTATTTGGGTATGTATAATGAGCTTGGGGTGTCATGTATGCCAGTAGAATGGCTATATTATATGATAATAATTCAGTACCCTGGTATATAATAAAGTACCATCGTACGCCATAAGCATAAACATTGATTTCTTCTTTGGCTGATGAATCAATTGTACAGGTGCAGTTCTTTACCAAGTGAAGCAGGTCTCCTTCAATCCATTGCCTCCAGCCGCGGTTCTCCTTTTCTCCCTTTTGCACACACACCAGTTTATCACCATCCCACCTCACCAGGGTCTGAAACAAATATTTCAGTATTTTGTCAATGTAAAAGATGAGTACTCTCATATGTGACCCTGGACCACAAAACCAGTCATAAGGGTCAATTTTTTAAAATTGAGATGTATACATCATCTGAAAGCTGAATAAATAAGCTTTCATTGATGTTTGGTGTGTTAGGATCGGACAATATTTGGTCGAGATACAACTATTTGAAAATCTGGAATCTGAGGGTGCAAAATATTGAGAAAATCGCCATTAAAGTTGTCCAAATGAAGTTCTTAGCAATGCATATTACTAATCCAAAAATTAAGTTTTGATATATTTACTAAATATCTTGCTGGAACATGATCTTTACTTAATATCCTAATGATTTTTGGCATAAAAGAAAAATCTATAATTTTGACCCATACATTGTATTGTTGGCTATTGCTACAAATATACCCCAGTGGCTTAAGACTGCTTTTGTGCTCCAGGGTCACATATATGGGACACCCCCACTCACGTA